CATCTGTCTTCACCAGTAGAGCTTTACAGCCCCCCACTAACTGCTGTAACTCTCCACACATCCAAAGCAAACAGGGATGGGTTTTAGTGTAATTGCTTAATTGGCCGTTACAGCTGCCATTTTTACTTATCTATTTATTTTTCATACGTAGACAACTGATGAATTTGATGCATGAACAGATTGTGTAACTTGCACATGTTAAATGTAAATGATAAGTTACGCCTCTGGAAGCGTCTGAACATGTCATTATTTCTCCCCCATCACTATTGTCCAGATGTCATTTTAACACTGTTCTAAAATGCAGTGACAGAGTAAAAAACTAAAGCCCCCTCCTCTATGATTCAAGACTGAAATGTTAAAATAAGGGTCATCTCTGTGACAGATGGACTCGGCAGAACTGCGAGGGGAACTTTTCCCTGAGCAAGCAGCATTCGACATCTCAGCAGACCCCCCTTCCCAGACCTCCTCTGGCCCTTTTGCTAGGCCGTCCACTTCCCGTCTCTCGGCCAGCGAGACACAGAACAAGATGGATGCCGGTGCCACAGTGCCGGCCGGCGTGACAGATGGGCCGATTATACAAACTCATCCCTCTGGCCATAGAAAAACACCACACCTTGCCTATAGCTAATAGCCTTCATCTGCCTGCACCTCATGGATAGCTCAAGCTCCTTGTTAATATGGAAAAGCAGTGCTGTATAGACACACAACAGCCCTGGCCTTCCCTTCGTGACAGCTTGTACCTGAAAAGACAGCTGCCACACTTTCTTTCTTTCTTTTAACAGGCCAAACAGATAAAATGGTAAATCACCTTGCTGCGACCTCGTGTCTGGCTGGCTGGCCCGCTTCAAGGGCGTGTTTTCCTTCATCTAGATGGCCACATTGCAAATGCAATAAACTGATTTCTGTCACGGGCTTGATGTGTGGGTGTGGGAGCTCTGCTATGGTTTCTCAGCAGGAAAGCTGGTGCAGCAGTAGCTAAAAACACGAGACCCCAGACTGAGTGACACGGGGAAAAAAAACAAAAACAAACAAACAACATTTTGGTTTTAAGCCAGAGAGATGTCAAGAACACATTAAAAAAATAAATAAATAAAAGTCAAGATCGTGGGAGAATAAGTGCAGGTGCTAAAGGTGATCTTTCAGGATTAACCACCCTCCACTTTGTCTGCCCTCACCTGAGATTTAAAGTCAGGGCTGATTAATCAGACCGGTATCGAGTCTCTATTCAGGCAAGACATTTAGATCAATCACAGCAGCCAAAGGGGAGCATACAATGGCCCTAACAAATGGGAAGCACAGAATGAGGAGGTAAGGAGGGTGGGGGTAGGAAGGAGCAGAGAGAGAGAAAGAGAGAGATTGAACGTCTTACTTCATGCTCCCAGCCATCAGCAGGAAAAGGTTGTAGATGTGTGAGAAGATGAAGAGGAAGAGGATGGTGCTGAAGAACATGGTCATCCAGGAGCCATGATCCTCGCGGAACATTTTCAGGCGCAGGTATCGACCTAAAGGGAGCACGACAAGGACACTGCCGTCAGTGGCGCTTCAAACAGCATGTCAACCCGCTAACACGTATGGCCGCGAAAATGGGGATAAAAGTAAATTAATTAGTCGGAGATCAATAATGTCCTCCACAGCCAGACACATGCCCTTTACACAGTGAAATTAAGATTAAAGACCAGTTAGAGGCGTCACTTCTAGCGCCCTGAAGTAAGGGCCTTTTCCTGCCCGGTTTCAGGATGTCGTTATATCTGCTGACGATGCCAGCGATGGATGTCTGCTTGTGTTTCATGACGCTTACAGTTTAGAGAAATTATTCAGACATTTGTGACCCGTGGTGTTTTGTTTTAAATACAGTCCTGGCTTTGAATCAAATTATGGTAAAATACCTTTCTGGCAGAGTATAAGATTGATTCAGATACGCAGCCTTCTGCACAGAACACATAATCAAAGAAAGCTGGTGGCAGGACTCAACACAACTCTGAAGGTTATTTTGTACACTAGTAAAACTACAGCTATTTTGGCTTTTGTAATATGACTCCTGTTTAATATATTTACACCTTAAAGTCACACTTGGTGGTTAGAGTGGGATGAAAAGGCATTTATTTTGTAAGTAAGATGATGGGAAAATAGCAAGTGTGAAGCAAAGACACGCATAACTTAACTGCACAACACCTGTCAAAGTCCTCGAACTACAACCCAAAAGTGCTCACACAACAGAAGCAATCTGTTTTGCACATTTAGTGTGCTTCTTCCTACCACCTGGGTCAAATTGACTCTTTAACTAAATAGATGACACTTAAATATACTAGGAGATTCCCAAAAGATTTTACATTGCAGATTTATAAAATCGGAATAATCACAGAAGAAATTCATGAAAAGGATCATTTTGTTTGACTCTTGACGATCTCAACGAAGGTATTAGCAGGCTAGCTCGGGAGAGCGTGTCATCTTCTAATCGCAGCGCTGATGGCTTGAAGTGTCCTTGGAGAACGACACCTTACAAGGTGGCTTGCTGCCTTTAGCGTCTGAGTGAGAATGGAATAGATGAGTGAGAGGCCAATTACAAACCACTTTGGATAAAAGTGCTAGGAAAATGCAAGCAATTTTGTTTTTGGCAGCTCTGCTTGAAATATCCATATAAATATTAGCTAATAGAGAGGACATACCTCCATGCCATTGCAATTAGCAGTATTGAAAATCTGATTTTCAATAATCAATTCCAACTGAAATGTGCTCATTAAGGGCTTTTTCCTGGCTCAGAATGGACAGGTTGGAGAGGGGGGGGCGGTGACTGAGCACAAAAACACAATTAATCCCCACAAAGTCAAATACATCAGTGTGTGTTGCCTTATTTGACAGAAAAGTAAACATATCCTGTTACTTCTGTCCCTTTCACTTACAATGCAAGTAAAATAAACCCAGTTAACAAATAACTGTATTACGATGCAGGTGATGTGAGAGATCCGTGAAGAATGTCTTTATTAAAAAAAAAAACTAAACAAAACACAGTTTAGCACACTGACTGAACATTGATTTTCTGTTACAAACAGTTAGACCACAGGCATATAAAACATGGATCCAGCTTTCAGGTCAATGCAAAAGTGCCTTACATCTGCACTTCATCTGCAGGCCACTAGATGGCGATACCTGTGGTTGCAAAAAGACTTGCAGTCCTATACAAGCCTCTGAGGAAACAGCTTTCTGACTTGAACTCTGTAAACACTTTTATAATGAGTTCAGTGCTCAGTCACTAGTTTTTGGGTTACGCTGAATAAAAAATTAAGTCTATTTTATAAATCTGTCCCTGCTATGTTTCAAAGTGGAGGATTATCACTGGTGTGAAACCATCTTCTAAAAGCTAACAACTTGTGATTGTCATTAGCAAGTCACAAGCCACAAACCAACGATTGAGGTTTTCAATGTCAGACCTGCTCACATCCCATCACATAGATCTTTTTTGCAACCTAGATGGCGATAGGACACGCTTCCTGGATTAAAAAAATGGGACTTCAGAAACCAATGGGTGGCGTCACAGCAGCTGTGTCCATCTTTTACAGGGAGCCAAGTTGTGACATACCGATGACATTACTAGACCGTCATCTGATTAACTTTCTGAGCTCCACCCAAAGTTGCAGGAGCTCTTATACAACCAAACTAAGTAGCAGCTGCCATCACGAGGAAGCTGAATTAAATATTTAAAAAATTGTGAAGTGCCCCTTTAAATTAAACAGCAATTCCAAGAAAACTTCAAAGCATCTGACAGTCAGTGTCCCCAACCATCAGCTGCTTCAAGGTAACTCTGCTGAGTCTTAATTAAGGAATCCTGGATGAGTAAGCTTGGCTATAGTAGTCCATTTCCACTGTTTATAACAGTATGTACACACACACACACACACACACACACACACACACACACACACACACACACACACTCTCTCTCTGCTTCATCTCTGTGAGCTGTGATCCAGTGCCAGAAGCGGCCATCTTCCCAGGAACAACTCTTTGTTTTCCTCTCCTCGAGCTCAGTCAGCGTCCCTTTGAGTTACAGCTCCCCGAAGAGCTCATTGTGTTTTTGTTCACAAGCGCGCACACACAAACACAGCCAGAGAGAGACAGCAAAGCAGAATGCTCCATTTATTTTCCCATTACAGCCTGGCTGGTTTACTCTTGAATAGTTTTACATGCTGTTCGATCTCTGCTTGCTCACTGTCAGTTTTTTCTACTGTGCGTATAAAAAACCCCCCAAGAGGTTGACATTCCAAAGGAGTGGAAGGGGCGCTGAGATAAGGAGAGAAAGAAAAAAAGTGAGGTTATAATGAATGAAAATCCTGCAGAAAATGTATTTGATATATATATATATATATATATATATATATATATATATATATATATATATATATATATATATATATATATATATATATATATATATATATAGTGAATTAGTGAAAGCTTTGATTATTGATTGCAAGTACTGCAGAGAATAGAAAGCTGAAAGTTCTCCTGATAACATTATTCCTCCTCAATTTTTGAGGGGTGTGAGGGAGCGGTTGAAGCAAAAGCAAAGTGGCCTGGTGTGAGGCCACACCATACGTCTTTTTGTCTGTGGTATTTCAGGGCTCATCACAGTTGCATAATTGAATTGACTTGCATGGGTGAACTTAATTGCCTCCGGTGCCACTGAGTCCTCGCTTAGATGTAGATGCACAGTGCGCATCGGCACATCTGACTTTTAAAGCAGCGCGCTGAGCCATCGAACACGGGGTCCTCTCATTGCCTGTATGGGCAGGATTGAACTCGGGGGTGATTCAAGGCTATTCAGCCAAGCCTTTTGAGTCACTGCAACTCCCCACCGTGGAGGATCCCGATAAGGCGTGATTCACGAGCAATGTCTACTGCAAGGCTCGGCCCGGCTGGGGACAACAACAACAACACCACACATTGACAAGAAAGCCACACACATAAACACAAAATTAACTAAAGAAAAAAAGATAGACAGAGAGAAACGGGGACACTTTGCATGTCTGTAAATCACAGTGCAAACACACAGACATTACATTCTGATCCCCGTTACGTTTATAGTGTCGTTTTTCTGAAACTGTTACTAAAGTGCCCAAATTCCCTCAAGTCGTTTCTATCTAAATCAATGATGCAGCTCTGTCTCCATCTACTGGCGACGATTTGACACTGCACATAACCGTCTTCATAGCACGTTTACCAAGGTAAAAAATAAAGCGTAAAATATGGCAGAATCTTTGGGACATAAAACATTACACCAGTATTTTGTGCTTTATTTTTCATTACAAATAGGCGGCATCATCTACTATTAGCCATCATCTGACAGTTTCCTTCCTAAGTCATTTCTATTAAATGCTAAATCTGTGTCTGCAGGGTCCTCTCTGTCTTTATGGTCTCCAGTCTCCACCTCTATTTGATATTTCGGGGAAGTGCTCGGGTTACAAAATCATAATCCACTCACAGGTCACACAGACAGTAAACACTAACAGAAGTCAGCAATCAATCATCCACTGGCACACGTGGACAAGCAATTACGCCTGATATTTAAACAGTACTTCTGTTTAATCCTCTTTTTGTTGTGTTGTGCGGATGTACAGATACACAGACACACACACACAGCACAGATAAAGCAGCAGCGCACCGATAGCTCCAGTCACATGGGAAACAAACAATTGGTGGTGAAGCATTGAAGCCAGCTTGAGATGTGATCCCTCCATCATGACACAGCTCTTAAAAAGGGACAGTACAGCACCAAGTAAAGAAGGTAAGATCAAATCTCAACTTCAAATACTTTCATTAGTTAGTTTATTGTAAATGAACCTATAAAACTTAACATTAAGCTTCTGAGTGAAAAGTAGTTGTTGACATAATTAGTAAATGGAGCAGTACTTATATAGTGCCCTGCAATTTAATCCAAGCACTCAGGAGCAAAAGAAGATTCCCAGTTTGATTCTGGAAGGAGAAACAAATTCTTTTTTTTTTTTTGGTTTTTCAAATTAAACATGCAAAGCTTCCTGCTGTGGAAACAATTTATTACTTACATGTACAGTATACCAGTGTGACGAATGTTTCACTGTCATTTACGCATTTTAAATAACCAAAGCAGACATTTTTCTGTTCTCCCTTTCAGAGGGTGCTAAGATGTGAATTATTAAAGGTCTGCTCACCTGAGCAAAATGAATGTTTGATCTCTGATTAAGTGCAAACATCGGCCGACATGGTGGAGGGAACAGATCAACAGTCCCCTCAGGTTTCATTGCTCACAGCAGACAATCAAGCACTCACTTCCTGGACACACTGGTGATGCTCAGAGATTATAGAGACAGTAGTGTAAATACAGAGAGCCCTGAGAGAGAGTGGGGAAACATCTTACTTTAAGTACTCAGCAGAGTCAGTGAAACAAATGAAAACATCTGACTTGGGGGGGAAAAAAAACTATTGAATACAAAAATGCAGTATTTTGAATGCAGTCTTAAAATACAGAATAAGAATGACATAAAACATTAAAGTGTGTCCGTGTAAATATAGTGCTAGAATGAGGCAAGAGGGGCAACACCATTTCTTGACCATTAACATCGATTTCAAAGGCTACAAGAAGATTTCAAGAACCCCACTGCTGTACCTGGAAAACCACAATTTTACATTTGTGAACACACAAAATGCGATTTCATGAGATGAGATTCAGTTTGATGCAAAAACACACTGTAGAATAGAGACGGATATTAATAATAACTCATTTTTAAATGCAAAGTGGTCTATAAACAGGGGTGCACATAAGTGGTCCGCAGGCGCGCCTGCGCTGTCAAGATAAAAGACGTGCACCAGATAAGAAGTTGCAACGCGCGTTTGCGTACATAAGATTTTCTGGAGGAGGACAAACATTTGTTTAGAACTCTTAAAGATGTCGAAGAAGCTCCTTTAAGCAATTACTTTGGTGTTCCTCCACCTCCAAAGAGATGTCAGAAGGAGTCCGAACCGCAAAAGAAGCGCGTATTCTCGGAAAAGTGGTTGCAGGAGGTGAGCTGGCTTCAAACCAATGATGAACGCACAGAGATGTGGTGCAGAATATGCCGTAAAAATCCCACTCTAGCGGACAAAAACAGTGCCTTTTATATGTACGCAAACGCGCGTTGCAACTTCTTATCTGGTGCGCGTCTTTTATTTTGACAGCGCATGCGCACCTGCGGACCACTTATCTGCACCCCGTCTATAAACACATAGAGAGTGAAAAGAAGTAAAGAAGAGTGCATCATGGTAAGACCCAAACAGCCTATTGCAATGCAAAATTAAAATATGGTATCTTGTTAATTAATCAACTTTTTTCCTATAACACAAATGCAGGCTTATCAGACTTTGGTTGGATCTAGTTTCACATCAAACAGATGTGTGAGCTGTCTCCAATTTGTCACCAACTTCTCAGCAATAGAGCAAATTACTCTTCAAATGTCCAAACATTCATATGACAGACAAAGCAGCTCTAAGGCTACGTTCGGTAAATTAGACATCCAACTATCCTCATGGTAATGTTGACCACTCACATTAGTTTAAGCCAACCTTTCAAAACTACTGTAGTAAAAACTAACAACTTCCTGTCCTTAAATCCCAGACGAGCTTCTCGTGTTCCTGAACCAGTCAACAGAATTCTGCAACCATTTTGAGGACAGCTATTGGTATTGCTACATCGTGCTGGTGCTCTTTGCTTTCACTGTTCCGGTGGGACTGCTGGGAAACCTAGTAGTGCTCATCAACCACACCTGCTTTAGGAAAACCTCAAGCTCCAGCAACATTTTCCTGCTTAACCTGACTCTGTGTGACTCGGGGTGGATCCTCACACTGCCCTTCTCCCTCTACATTACCTTGAGGAGGCCCCACATCACAAACATACAGATCTTCTGTCAGTTCAAGAAGTCCTTCTTCAACATCAACATATATGGCAGCATCCTCTTCCTGACTCTAATCAGTTTCGACCGCTTCGTTGGCACAGTGCACCCGATCAGTTCTCTTCGTTGGTGGAATGCCGGTAAAGCCAAACTGTGCTCCTTCTGCGTGTGGGTGCTGGTCGTCCTTAGCTCCATTCCTGACTTATTTCTAACTTTTTCTATTCAGCCCACAGAAAATGTCACTGTGTGTGTGGACCAGATCCAGGATCCTTTTTACTATGTCAGAACAGCCATCATTATCAGAACAACAATAGGCTTCCTGCTGCCGTTCACTGTCATGCTTGCTTTTTACACCATGACGGTTCGAGTTTTGAGGCGTCTCCCAAGAGGTCAAAGCAACCGAGCGAGAGGAAAGCCCCTGCATCTCCTTACTGCCGCCATACTCGTCTTTGTGGTCTCCTTTCTGCCCTACCACACTATGGCCACCACCATGGTATTCATGAGGATTTCTAACCTGGTGACCCCCTCCAACACCAATGTACTCTATGCTTGCTATGAGTTTTCTGAAGCCATGTGCAGTGTAAGCAGCTGCCTGGACCCAGTGCTGTATATTCTGGCAGGTGAACAATTCCAGAGGAAGTTCCTGGCATGGAAAAGAGGCCAATACAGGAGGTTCTGCTGCAGAGCCAGCAGGAGGATTGGGGTAATTGAGTGATTTGCTGGAGACAGTTTATGGCTAGTTACCTTAACTTGCCTTGGTTCAAATAAGGTCCTGGCATGGTACTAGGATAATGTTGGCGCTATGCATTCCTTTGCAGACCCAGTCATTTAGAGCCAGTGGCAAAAATATATAGAACAACCTTAGTGGCAATTATGGCCTAATGGCCCCCAGAGGATACAAAGCATAACAACCAGGTCTGTAGTATAGTAGCACTAAGTGTTAAAAACAATGTATAGTCAACACACTATCTCCAGTTCAAACAATCAGCACTTTACCATAAGCGCCTCCACAAATGGACAAAAGTGCTAGAGCAAGAATCCAGCTTCCCTGTTGCTACAGTGCCAGTGGCAGATATGATATAATAGTATAATTATCCTGGCCTGTCTGCTACTGAATCTACTGTGTAAGAGGAATGAAAAAGTATAGTGCTGTGACTGACCATCTGGGATCAATGCAACAACACAGCAAGATTGCATTATTGTCTATTCTATATTACATAAACATTTGGTTAAGATGAAAATAAATCAGATTAACCAATAAATCTTCTGTGGTCTTATCCTTGTTTGTGCATTGAAGCTGTGCCTATTAAAATCTGTGCACAGCTAACGTCACACTCACTGATAACACAAGCTTGAGTTTTGCTTATATAATGTATGAGAGTCATACAGGTGACAAATTATTTTCCAAAGACCTGAATAAAAGGTTCTTTAAGTACCTCATCCTCCAAGACCGTTGGCAAATAATAGCACAATCTATTTTGTGTCCACAGAATTTCTTAATATTACTAGTGTGCCAAGTCTAAATCACTGGCTTAAGGATATTATACCACGACCAAGTCTTTCAATTTTCCTTTACTTTAAGCAGATTTTATTTGTTGCTTTACATCAAAGTATTTCAGTTTCCTTGTTTTGGTGGCAGTGAGTCTTTTACTCATAACAAATTCACCAATGTGGAAGTTTTCCACATTGGTGAATTTGGCCACAACTTCCCTGTTGGCAACACGGAATGCCACAAACACAACAACCAGCTGATCCGAGCAGAGGTGGGCAGAGTGTAAACAGGTAATCCACGACTTGCTGTGACAATAAAACAAGATTATTTTTAAACTGCATTGTCATATTACATTATGATAGTAAGAACTCTGTAACTGCGCATAACAAAAAATACCGAAATCTGTTTATGTTTCGTGAAAAGAAAAATTATATATACATCGGCCAAATATTGGTATCAATCTTAAAAATCCAGTCTCCGTTAATCTTTTTTCTGTACGTTCACACCTCAAAGCACAAATTAGTGTCTGTGAGTCCACACTGCATAGTACACTACTAATTTAAAACATCAGACCAGTCAAGTTCGAAGACCTTAAATGTCTGCTTATCAGAACTTTACTCATTTTTGAATGGATGTTTAGCCTGCTATGCTTTTCATAGCATGACAATCACGTGAATTGTGTTATTTATCAAATGTTCACCCCACACTGACTATCAGAGTCTATTAAAGAGGAGCATCAAAGCTGATCTGACAGCTTGTGGTTGCCAAACACACTCTATGTCACCCGACCCTTAAGATTTTAACAATCCCTATATGACGTTCAGGTTCTGACTTCAGCCTGTATCAAAACAGAAAGGCTCAGGTAAATTAAATATAATCCTGTTAGACGCTTGTTATTCGTTAGTTATGGTGCCCGTACCTGTTCAAATATTTTGACTGTATTGCAGAGAAGTGGATGCTACCATGGAAAATGTGATCATCATCAACAATGTACCATCCATACTGATACCTGAACTACACAATGCACAGTCTTTGTATTGCAAACATTGCTCTGTATTCAAGTCATCTATTCATACACATTATACTGTAAACTGTGAGGGTTTGCATATAATGCATATGCACTTTCATCTATTTTAGGTTTCAGTATGCAGCACTATTGCATCTTGTTTTGATTCCAAACCTCAGAACAATCCTGCCCCCTTAGGGATCTAAGAGTAAAAAAACAGAACACAAAAAACAACAACAAAAAACACAGAACAGAAAACCTGAGTTTCCTCTCTATCTGCAGTTGAGCATGTGAACAGGACCAAACCCATTCATCACATTGCTTATTTGCCAAGCTGTGGCAACACTGTGAGGCAGGGTGGGGGGGTGGGGGGTGTTTGTTGAAGCAGCTACGGCTACTAATGTCCCCAGAGCTGAGCACCTCTGTAACTAAGCATATGGATAATAAATCAGAGGTGGGAAAGTGACAAAAGAACTCCCTCCACTGGGAGACTGCAGAAAATAGAGCCGAGACATAGAGAGCTGGCAACTAGGCCAGTGTACCACTGTACCTGTTCCAGTAAGCAGTGTGGAAGTCTAGTTTTGTTATTTATGGCTTGGCTCTGAAGTCATACATTTCAGGTAAATAAGCAATTTCCTCTTGGCTGGTTTCCTTTGTTTGCTTGCTCTTTGTGTCTTTGTCTCCCTCTGCTGTTCAATTACTTGTCAGTTTTTGATTTTTTAATTCTTGATCTGTAGTTTCATGTGATATTCCAGATAATTTTTGAGGTTTGTATATCAACACAAGATAAAAGGCAAATTTCCCTTCACAACCAACAAAAAGGTTATGTTATTATCTCATAAAGGAAAGGTACGCTTCCAAATACGATTTCCTTTTCTCCACTACGCCTGCTGCTTGTCATGTAGTAGGAGGTGCAAGAGCCAGAATCCTGGGGAAATAACTTGTGTTACGTTTTTAGCTGACACACGCTTAGCTATGTCCAAGAGCTAGGAAAACACTAACTGAATTTCTCATGAAAATGGTGAGACTGAACCAAAGCAATGATTCTAAAAAACATTCCGTAGAGAGGTGCTGATGGTGATCAAGCTTTAAAACCTGTGTGCATTTAACCTTTCCTGGAGCCTAAGGTAGCACATTTATTTTTGTTCACACCTAAATTTACAATGACAGGGAAGTCAGGGAAACTAAAATTCACTTCAACAATTCATTATTTCGGAAAGACTTCCTGCTCACGACTGTAGCACATCATCTAAGAGACAAATGCACGGGCAATAAAATATCGCATAGCTACATACATATAAATATAACACACAGAGCCTCCTATCCTGCCACCCACACATTGACTCCTACACAGACTCAGTTCACTTTGACCTGCGGCCACATAATGCTGTACATAAGCCATGTCAGCCTTTGCTTGCCACAGTAATAACTCATGACAGAACCCAGATGGCATCCTGCAGGCTACAATCATCAAGACTAGAGAAAAGGGGATGAGAGGCACTCCAGCAACAGAGCAGCCAACAACACATCTCACAGTTTCTCTCTCTCTCTCTCACACACACACACACACACACACACACACACACACACACACACACACACACACACGTACACGTCTGTGACCATAGGAGGACAACTCTCACATTACTTACTATTTTTTAAGAGCTAATCACAGTATCTGGAGCCTTAAATGACTCATTCAGGTGGATAAGAGAAGTCATAGCTTGATTGAATGTAAGTGTCTGTAATAACATGCAAAGTAGGATCTAATCCAGTTAGGACAGTGCTCCACATGAATTAACATTACCCTTCACTTTGCCTTTTGGAATTCACAAAGCCTCAGAGAGAAATAGGTGAATATTTTATGCTAATATGGTCACTGAGGCAGCATTAAAGAGATGGGCAGTGTCATTTTCTGCAAAGTCAAAATTGACAAAATAGACGGCTGCATTTATACTAACCTAAACTAAATGTTAAATTTTAGCTGTACTTTTTAAAAACAATCTTCCTTCTTCACATTATTTCACCTGTAACACACTTATTAGAGCCCGACTGACAGGCTAATATTAGCAATTTAGCCATATATCGGTATCGGCATTTATAATAGCTATACCCATATAGTTACGTGGCTTTGCGTGACTGAGACTTGGAACACTGAGTCTGGCTCTAACAATTATTTCATTAGGAACTCATTGACATGAAACCCAGAGAACCCAGTATGACCCAAGATTTCATACAAATGTGTAATGACAGCCAGTCTTGCCTTGAATGACCAGAAGTCATTGGCTAGCACCCACTCGATTAGAGAGCAAACATAGCCTTGAGAGGCTGAATGGAGCAGGATAGGTTGTTCCTTGAGCCTCAAATGCCAACTTAAAAATCACACAAGTCACTCATCAAAGAGCGTTTATTCACTGTGGAAACACTGCAGTGCACCCATGCCTAACCCGTATAGCAACACGAATGAAAACTAGTTCAAATAAAGTGTTATGCAGCAACTGGATTAAAAACTGTAAGTTTCTGAGAGGGGACATAATATATATATTGTGACAAATACCGCACAAAAAGAGGAAGGCTGTGGGTGCAATTCACAGCAAAACATTTTCTAGGCCATGATAAATTATAAATGATGCAGGGGATGTGTCACCTTTCAAAACCGATGTCAGCTTCCAGGCCTGAGACACATTTCTATAAAGTTAGGCATGTAACTGCAAACAGTGTCAGAACTTTAGCTCTGGTTCAAGGGAACAAGAAGACACCCTCTTCTAAATGTGGATACAGGAAAAAACAAAAAAAACTTTCAGTCTGCCACTCCAAAGTGCTTTTTTTTTTAAAGATGCTCAGACCTTTGCATGGATTGTGTTCCTACCCAGAAGCATTCCCACTGGCTCCCTACGTATCAGAGGATAGAAGAGATAGTAGACTGATATCTGCACAATGTTAGTGGGGGATATCACGATGAGCAGTAAGTGGGCCATGTGGGCCTGTGTGGCAGACTTATAATGGATGATAGATTTTATTGTGGGCCTGCTTCTGTAGTGCTTCTCTTATGCTCTACCTGTGTTTGTGATTGCATAACCGCTCCACTGAAATGTTGTGCATGGCATATCTCGCCTCTCCAACTCTCAGCCTCACTCAGACACACGCACAAACACACATCCGTGCATGTGCTTGCAAAATATCGCCGCTCTCTCACACTTACAGACACACACGCCCGCACACAGAAGTCCAAACCATCTGTTCAGAAGCTTGTTGAAGTGCATTAGTTGCACCTGGCTATGAATGAGCTGCACTCCTCTCCTACATACCTTAGAGCGAATGCAATTGCATTGACCCCGATACAGATCCACCGGGCCCTAGTGTAAAACCTGACATAAAACTGACTGAACTACATGCACACCTACTGTACATTACCATTATGAATCATGGAACTGACAAAATGCTGGTGGTGTAACACACCAAGAGTCTGGAGCTTCCACAACACTCCAGAACTGGAAAAATATTTTGTGTCAATGTGATTTTAAAATGATGTACAAATCCCAGTTTGAGCACTATGTGAATTATGAAAATAGTTATATAGTGGATTTATTTGTATGCAAACAGATACACCCGAGTCCCCTGTAGGTTCTTTTCCATCATCATGCTGCCTGTAGCCACCTGATTGTGCAGGACATATTGTGACGCCATCATGCTGCTTAGCAATCGTCCAATAACAAACTAAAATCACAGACCAAGAAAATACTGTAGCATAAACATGTAATAGTT